AGGAAAGTAGTAGTTTGAAATTTAATATAATTATAAACTTTTTGTTGATTAATATATAAAAATTGTTTTTTGTAAGAATTATAAAATTTGGGAAACCAGATATCAAGTGGAACTAGGGCTGTTAAAAGTCTGGTCCTATCAGTCCTGACTCACAAATAGGGACTTTTGATTGGAACTCAGTTCTTGAGTTGGTCCTTGCATATGATAATATGATTACTAATACCATCACTATATATATAGATAATTAATAATGATAATTTATATCTTAACCTTTATTTTACTTTCTTTACTGCAATACTGCTTATTGCTAAAAAATACATATATATAAAACAATTTTATTCTACATTTATTTTTAGAATTCCTGGCTCAGACCAACTCTTTATATATAAAGAAGCTCTTGTTGATTTTTCAAGAAGGCTGTTTCTCTCAAGATTTAAAGTATATTTGGCCACAGAAAAGGCACGTTTATAGGGAATGCTTTTCTTTCTTGACATAATTATCTAGCATTTTTAACCTTTTTGTTAAAAATCTACTTTTATAGTAGAAACTACAAATTTATATATATATATATTTTTTTTATTATTTTAGTTATCTTTATTTTATCTTTATTTCTCTATTATTAATATTACTATAACATACTTCTCTTCCTTTGATCCTTCTTCTATCGTATTATCAAAAATCTCAATTACTTCTTTGTCTTCAACTTCAACTACTCTTTTTTCTATAAACTAATTTTCTAAAACTTCTAATACTTCTTTATTTTTTTCTTTTGGTGATAAACTTCTCTTATAACTATGCTTCGCATAACTCTTCAAATAATTATGCTTAGTCATTATTCTAAGCTCCAACAATCGAATCTACAAAACACAATTAAAATATCTTTGACATATGTAATACAATATTCAATCAGATTATCAAATGCACATGGACAAATTTAACAAATTGATTGGACAATCTATAATTAAACAAACAAATTTTCAAAAAACATGCAAAAATAATATTCATTGTGTATATTTGGTTATAGTATAATAAATAGAATTTTCATAGCCATTGTTGGGCCATAAGTTCGAGTCTATCAGTAGTATATCAGACCCAGTGCACTATGATGAAATTACTGACTACAACAACTACAATTTTTTTATTCAATTTTTCTCTCTTTTTTTTTATATATTATTATCCAATTTACAATATCTTTATTATTTTAACCTTATTAGAATTATTCAAACATTAACATATTTATATTTTAATAACTTCTTTAAACTAATTTATTCTACAATTAATCTACTTCTTACATATCTTATAGTACTACTATAAAACTTAATACATATCTAGAGCTCATCTAGATTTGTATAAAGTTTTTAAATCTAGGTGAGTCTTGGCCACTCTAGTAGGTTTAGATTGCAGATAATTAGTTTAAGCTTTTAGTTTGAGCTTTTAGTTTGAGCTCTTATTCTTGCATATAATTTATATGTATTTGTCTTTGTACAAATTAAGTTTTTATATAGTTTTCTATATAACTACTTATATATATAAATTAATTAATAAAGATATGAGCAAGGCCTCACCTTAATATCAAAAAAAAAAATAATAATAATTTTGTTTATTTAAAAAAATTATTAACAAATTTTATTTTTTAAATAAAAATAGATCAAAACAATTTTATTTTTAAATTTTAATTTTGAATTTTAAAATCTAAAATAATTTTATCCTTATCTATACTTTTATATACTATATAACAATATATATACTGTTGGCTTTCTCCAAACCAATCCTGGCAAAACTAATAACTTGCTATAATCAGTTAAAAATTGATTTACTAGGCCTGTTCCTTAATTCATATCTGATAACTTGCTATTTCTGATATTTGATAGTTTAAATATATAAGTTTCCAATTTATCATATATGGTCACATAATTAACAACCAATTAGAATCATAAATTTAATAAGGTATAAAAAGATCAACAAATTTTTTCAACTTTTAACAAAAAATTTTTTGATAACTACTTATTAAAATTAGCTTAAATCTTTACTTTAAATAATATATATTTATTTATAATATATAAAAATTTTAACTAATTTGGATTTATAGTTTTTGAGAAACTATTTGTTTACAATAGACAATTTACGAAAAATGAAATTTAAAACCGGCGAAAGGATAACAAAAAACAAAGAATTTTTTAAAAAAAATTTTTTTAAAAAAATTCTTAAGAACTATTAATTAAATTAGCTAAACTTTTAATCTTTTATAAATAAATATATATATTATTTATAGTAAAAATTTGAGCTAATTTGAATCAGTAGTTATCAAAAAACTTTTGTCAAAGTTTGAAAATTTGACAAATTTTATAAAAATTATTAGTGCTAGTTTTGTAATTTGATTGGTAGATTAACAGTTATCTTGTTATATAATTTTTTCAAATTCGATAACCTCTCAAAGCTAATACAAAACCGGTTTGGGAAGGGCTAACAGTATATAGTATATTATAATATAAGTTCGATCTCTAAGAGTTGTTAATAAACTGGGTTGGATTGGTTAACTAAATCTTCATTAAATTAGACTTTAACATTTACTCTGGATGTTCTATAACTACTACGAGTTGCTTTAATTTAGATAAAATTTTTAAACCTATTCCGAAGTAGGCTACTCCTGATCGCCATTGTGAAAACAAGTATTCAGTTCAGGTTTTTTTTTATCCGCTACTACAAGCCAGAAAAACTATACAGTTATAAAATATCGGATAACATATGGGGTCTTTACCTTGAAAATCACCTTCCAACATTTCCGATCGGGCTGAAATCAAACCCGCGTATTAATTCATGTTTATATGTAAATCCCCTTTGTATTTATTGATTCAATAGTTTATCGAATAAACTATTGAATCAATAAAGGCAAAGGAGGTTTACATATAAGCATGAACTAATACGCGGGTTTGAATTAGCCCGATCGGAAATGTTGGAAGGTGATTTTCAAGGTAAAGACCCCATATGTTCGAATTCTTTTGTTGGTTTTACTCGGTTTCCCGATATCCAATCCGTTCGTTCACTGATACGTGATAGCTCTGATTGGTCAATTATATACTGCGCCTCATACAATTTAATGACCCGGCCGGGTTATGAAAACCAAAAAATTAACTCCCTGGCCTTAGAGTTAGGTGAAAATAGTGAATGTATTATTATAGCTAATACATAACCTATCCGTCATTGCCAGAATTGGTGCTTCTCAATGAGAATACCAAAATTAGCGAGATAAAAAAAAAAAAGATATAATCTATCATTGACCAAACAGATTTCTATATCATTTCGATTCGTCTGAGAAATGTAATCAATATCTACAACGTTACTATCTTTTAAAAGGAATGGTACAAAGATTATCGATTCTAATTAAAAGTTGGAACAAATATTTTTAAAATGACCGAACGTTAATGCATTCTACTTATACAGATTAGTGCTAATAAATTTACCTAATCTGAAAGACCGCTTGATCGTTATGCGTTAAGCTTAAAAATGCTTGCACTGTGGTCGAAAATCCCTGAAAAACCATCACGTGATATTGAGCGCGCAAATTTTTAGATTGGTGAAATTAGAAGGTTGTGGAACATCTATGGTAATAAATCTAGATAATAAATACAGTCTAAGTAGATTACGTACCATTCTGACAAAAAAACATTTTGGTAATAACGATAACTTCCCGCCTTAAGTTTTTATTTTTGAAAATAGAACTGGTCATAGCACGTGAATCGTTTGAATATACCCGATACATACTGTTATTTATCGATCGTCCGATCGTCTCGTGATTTGAAACGCTTAACCCCGTAAACGTCAAATAATTTTCGTGTGCTTTTAGGTCCGTAGAAATGCAGCAAGAATTATATTTGATAAAAATCCCAAAAGAACATTTGCCTGCAACTATTTGTAACATACTGGTTGAACACGGTGATAAAATCGAGAAAACTCAATCGCTACTTAGATACGAATATGTAAAAAAAACTAAGAAAGAAAACATTGATCCAGAAACAAAAGAACAGATTCAACATATGATAGATACACCCTTTATCGAAGAATTAAAGAGTCCCACTGAAGGTGAAATCGAGCAAATTTTTGTCAGAGAAGGCGAGCTTATATTCGATACTGAGTAAGAATAAATTTTTGTTATATAATATCTTTCATTATGTAATATCATTATTTACACATTTTTAGTGACAAGGCTGTGATTGGTGTGAAAGAGCCGTGCGTTCACTCAATTCAGATTCGTGGCCTGTGTGCATTATGTGGTAATGATATGATGAAAACAGATTTTACTGGTGTTGATTATTCCCAGAGAGCTACTATTAGTATGGCTCATAATGTTGCTGGATTAACTGTTAGCCTCAATGAGGCTGAGAGATTAGAGAAAGAAACAGCGGATAGATTATTGAAATCGCGAAAGTTGTCTCTAATAGTAGATTTAGACCAAACTCTAATTCACGCAACCATCGATCAGATGGTGGAGGAATGGATTAATGATGAAAATAACATTAATCATCCCACAACTAAGGACATTCACAAATTTGTTCTATCTGACAGTCCAACTGTTTATTATATCAAGTTAAGGTACTCTTTTTTTCGGTTTTATCTTAACTTTACCTTTTATATTTACATTTTTCATTTTTTCATATGGTACTAAATTTTTAATGAGTAATTTTTTTTTCATTTACACCCTCAGACCGGGTCTTAAAGAATTTTTAAAAGATGTATCAGAGTTTTATGAACCTCATATATATACCATGGGAACGCGTAATTATGCGTCTTCCGTAGCTGAGATAATTGATCCGAATCATACAATATTCAATGAACGAATATTATCACGCGATGAAAGTGGAAGTAAGCATTTTTATTTCAAAGGTTTAAATTAGTTATTATTATATTTTATGGACATCTTTCATAATATATTAGATATAACTCGGAAAAATATACGACGTTTATTTCCTTGTGATGACTCAATGGTCGTCGCAATTGATGATCGGGCTGACGTTTGGGGTTGGTCGCCTAATCTTATAAAAGTTCACCCTTGTAAGTTTCTATTTATTGAATAAATTGGGATTCTTTAATCCACAATCTGAGGTAATTTTGACTAATTGTAGTTATATATAGATGATTTTTTTGTGGGAATTGGTGACATCAATGATACCCGTTCTGCCCGCTTTGACGAGAAAATGTCTAAAGAGAAAACGTCTAACAAGAAAACGTCTAACGAGAAAGTGTCTGAGAAAACGTTTGACGAGAAAACGTCTGATGAGAAAGCGTCTGACGAGAAAGCGTCTGACGAGAAAACGTCTGACGAGAAAACGTCTGACGAGAAAACGTCTGACGAGAAAACGTCTGACGAGAAAACGTCTGACGAGAAAACATCTGATGAGAAAATGTCCGATGAGAAAATGTCCGATGAGAAAACGTCTGATGAGAAAACGTCTGATGAGAAATCGTCTAACGAGAAAACATCTGATGAGAAAACACCTGATGAGAAAACGTCTAATGAGGAAACATCCGATGAGAAAACGTCTGATGAGAAAACATCCGATGAGAAAACGTCTGATGAGAAAACTTCTAAAGAACCTCTTAAGCAAAAAGTTGAGAATACTTCGAATAATACATTAACTACTACAATGCAAAAGTCATTACAAAATAGCAAAAGAACTTATGAAGGTATGATTATATGATTCAATTTTTATCCATTTATCGTAATCTGATCTGGTTTTCACATAATTTTTGGCAGAAATTTCCGAGGATTCTGCGAATTCTGACGAAAAAATATTTAAAAAACAACAAATAGAGCACGATGAAAACATTAGTAAACAAACTCGCGATCATCAATTAAAGTCAAATCAAATCATTGAAAGTGTAAAACCTGTTCCTGTTGACAATGATACAGAATTGCCCAATTTATTGAAGGTATTTCCTTTGTTACTTATTAAAGAAAATAGTATAATATACATATTCATATTTTTAATTCATCATTATAATCATCAGGCTTTGAAAACGATCCACAAACGATATTACGAAGAGTACGACCGAATGCAAAATGATTTACAAACGAATGTGAAATCAAGGATGCCAGATGTAACTGTGCTA